TAGAAGAAACCGGGCATGCCAAGTATCGCTTGTCACACATGAACTTTGTGAGGATTACCGCAGCATTACAGATGCGAACTATTTGATCTACGATTGGATATTTTTACGCTCTGATCTTCACATGCCCGAGAAGCTTCAACTCCCTTTTTCAAAGCAATCAGTCAAAGGTTGGAAGTCTCGCTTTCCGAAAAAATCTAAAGCAGGGGTCGATCTAGTTGTTTCGGACTTGGTCGCGCTGCAGTGCGCTCAACAAGGGCACCACTTCACTGCTGCCGCAATCCTTGGACAAGGTGATGCCTACCTCCGACCCGGAGAGGTACTGGGCTTGAAAAAGGAGCATGTGATCCAACCAAAAGCTTCACGTAGATATGATGTCTGGGGAGTCATTGTCGGTCTCTTTGAAGACGGAGTGCACACGAAAGCTGGTGAGTTTGACGATTGCGTGTTGTTCGACACTCCAGCTCGCAAGGACATCAACACGGTCATTAAAGCCATATTTGAAGCAGCCGCTGCGAACGAAACATTTTGTGCAGACCTGAGCCTGGCGAAATACACCGATTACATTCGGGAAGCAGCGCGGGATGTGGGCTTGTCACAGCTTCACCTTACTCCACACATCCTGCGACGTTCAAGGGCTTCTCATGATGCTTATCATGGTCTCAGGAGTTTCGAAGAGTCACAAGCGGAGGGGTCGGCGGAAGTGCAGCCGGTCAGTGCAAAGGTACTGTTGCAACATTCGAAGGTTCCGAATGCTGTGTGGGCAGCCGCTCGACATGCACGACAGCAAGTCGTTGATGCTGTCATCTCGTTTTGCAGTTTGCGTAAGAACGCTTAGTTCCAACCTTGGGATTTGGGCATTCCGTACAGAAGGAGCTCATGCTCTCCACGATTCTTGTCGTTTCAGTCTCAAGTCTTCTCAGCTGGCCAGCTCGTTCAGAGTTTGATGCATGCGTGCAGCCTCAATGCGGTTGCATCTCGGATCCGGGACTACTCTAGCGAAGTTGCATAAAAAGCTCTCGGAGTTCTCGGAGTGTGTCGTCACTCAGACAGTCTGGGATGGCAGTAGAAGCACTTCAGGCATCAATGTAAAGCTTGCGATGTTTGTGCCGAGTGCTGCTTGAAATCCCCACTTGTAACTTGCTCCCGTAGCCTTTTTCGACCCGCCCACTTCCTCCCTTTGGGCATTCCGTACAGAAGGAGCTCATGCTCTCCACGAGTCTTTTCGTTTCAGTCTCAAGTCTTTTCAGCTGGCCAGCTCGTTCAGAGTTTGATGCATGCGTGCAGCCTCAACGCGATTGCATCTCAGGTCCGCGACTACTTTAGCGAAGCTGCATAAAAAGCTCTCGGAGTTCTCGGAGTGTGTCGTCACTCAGACAGTCTGGGATGGCAGTAGAAGCACATCAGGCATCAATTTGGTATTATTCTAATGCTAGGTCCCCGTCACCACCGCAAGCCCTTAACCCTTTTAGGCTTAGAGTCATCAAATCCTAGGCAACCCGAGGGTTCGGGTTGAGTGCATGGGGCTTCGCCTAAGGAACACCCATCCGCAGTACCTTTGGGTGGCGAGGGATGGCAGCATCCACCTTTGGGATCAGACTGCCGCCGCTCGGTGCGAAAGTGCGGACCTAGACTTATGTACATAGACCTTAAGACCATGCCAAAGGCCTTCCTGTACATGTCAATGCAGCACCTTGCTAGATGGTTTCTGCATGTCCTAAAGTGCTTCAGTACAAGCTTTCGACACAACAGCAACAACAACAACCACAACAACAACAACAGCAACGACAACAACGACGACGACCACAACAACAACAACAACAGCAACAGCAACACCAACAACAACAACACCATCACCACCA